ACTAAATTAAACAGAAATCCATACGATAGCGATAGTGAAGCCTGAAAACGAGTCTCAGGTGGTAAGGATCCCTACCAGTAGACGATGGAGAAGAAGGTGATCTAATAGTTTGTTATGAGGAGAGGGAGACCGAAGTGAGAAAGGACGAGCGGAGCACTTACGTTGGAATCATCTTCCGGTTGCACAGTCATTGATCGCGTTACCACATTTTTGGTGCGTGTTTCCTGGTTGAGGATCACATTGACGGATCGAAGGTGGTTACTCTTCTCCTCGGGCACACCACACGATTCTGGCCAGTACTGAGAACACTTAGACTTTCCCCCTTCCAGAGCGCTGGACGAAGAAAAAGAGGATGCATCAGAAGAGGGTCAGCTATGTTCTACAAAGGCCTACCCACCGATGCGACTTATGTTAGAAAGGACGGATGGGGAGGAAATGTGCCATGTTGAAGGGCAACTTTTCCAGAAGAATCCGCCTTTAAAGTGTTGGTGAATATTAAGGTCTTTGAAATATATCCAAACTCTTAACAGAGGAAATGTGTCGGCAAGCAATGTGGAATACTTACTTGCACAGGGTGATGACTATTGGAGCTCGCTGTTGCTGCACCATGTAGAGGAAGTCAGCCTCTGTGTACTTGAGGGGACCCTGCGTGGCGATATACTCCGGTAAGCTGGAGTCTGCAGCAATTTGAGCCTGTCCACAACTATCGTAGTGACAGGCCTTAACGTAGTTGGCATTCACATACACTTTCGAAATCTCGCTTTCCTTGGAATTATGAAAAGAAGTGGGGTAAGTTGCGTTGAAAGTAAGCCTCGCGTCAACTTTTACTGGCAAAATCAAACACCAAGCTAGTACGCAGTGTGCAGCGCTTTATAATGAGGAGACATAAATTGTATTGAGGGTTTCACAAATCTGGATAATTCTTTTGATCCTGTGGGATTTGAACCCACGCCGCCAAGGAGAATGCTTAATACAACACATTTTCTAAAAAGATTGGCCAACCCTGCACCGTGTGCTTAAACTGATGGCAGGGGTCTCGTAAATCAGTTAGTTAGAGCGTTAGCTGTAACAAAGGCTAAAATCTTGCTGGTGTGGGAATGAATCTCACTGAGGCCGTCAAGGTTTTCACATCTGGGTCAAATAGATAGACTGCAATCACAGTCATTTTAATTGTCTAATCTTCACAACATGACAGATAAAATTGAGTTTAAGTTTAACAAGAGGCGTGACGGCATGCTTACCTCAGGTTCCATTGGATGCTGATTGGCGCAGTATGCTAACCAGTTGCGATCCAGACGAACGATTGACTGATCATCTATAAGGTAATCGAGCAGACAAGATAACAATCGTGCATACCAAACAAACCTGATAAAAGAAGTCTGATCCATTCAAAACTTGTACCCCCGGTCCCATCTAACTGTACTATTTCAACCAAAAAGGATGCGTATTCTGGCCAATTGTTCTTTTAAAACGAATATCTTGTGTTTGCTCGGCAGGTATTAGTAAGGAGGTCCTTCTTCGTGAGAATGGACATCTGGACATTATGGTCACAAAGCATATAATTGCGAGACAAATGAAACTCGCCACATTTATTGTGGAAAAGAAAACACCTTTCCTCAAAGTTCCCTTTTAGGGGGATGCGGCAACTGAATTCCTAAGAAAACTCCTTGACCAAGCCGTGTCATGACATTTTCGAGCAGCAAGATTTCGGGTAATAGTATCAACGCACCCGGTCTTGCACGGAAAAGTTAGGAGTAGGAGATGCCAGTTCAGACCAGCTCCATGTTCATCTACACATCTACTTGCTACAAGGGAACGCCTATCCAAAATAATAGGGAACTTTCGGATGTTTTGTAAAGTTCCACCAAACTACTCCCAGACACTGGATCAGCGTTTGCTAGCAATAAGCGAAGCGATTGCAGGTAGTTTGTGGGAGCCGGTCTTGTGTGCACAAAATAGCCTGCAAGGTCCGCGACAAACATGAACCGCGGTCACGTACCGACATGCACTTTTCCGCGTGCTCTCCCTTCCCCCCGTGGATCTGCTCCACTCCCCCCCTCACTGCCGCGTAATTAGCCTGCTGGTATCCCAACTCAGTAGGCCTTTTGGTAGGAGTTTCCTTGGTAGTGGCGGAACAAAACTCCACATGGCCAGGTTTGTCGACAGCGATTCGAGCTCGATTCGAGCTAGATTTGAACAAGATTAGGGTTAGGGTAAGGGTTAGGATTAGGGTTATGGTTAGGGTCAGAGTCTAGGGTTAGGGGTTAGGGTAAGGTTGAGGGGTTAAAGTTAGTGTTAGATTCAGTGTGGGATAGTGATATCTTATGTAAAATGCCCGAAGC